GGGGGGGGGGGGGGCAATTGTCCACCATCCCTCAACCCGTTCGTGTGCATTCTTTTGCGTTTTGTGACACTTCTCCTCTTTGGCTGAACTGCAGCCTCCGATAAACGGCAGGTGGTAAATGCCATAGATGGACTAACGAAGAACGGCTGGATTTCATATTTCAAGGCACAGCTGCAAAAACATTGCTCACGAGTTAATTTTTGTGGCCTCTCTCTTTCTGACAAAAACGAAGCAGAAAAGAAGGAATTAGCAGCTGATCACCGCCTTCGTTCCTTTTGCCACTTTAGCAGTTTTTTTTTAAAAATTTTTTATTTGGATGTTTTGTCACCATCCAGCAGGGCTGGAAATTAACTAAATTTTCAATCAGCATCTGTGCCCTTGGGGTCACCTCTCTGGCTTTCTCTTCCACCACACACACACACACACACACACACACACACGCGCGCACACACACACACACACGCGCACTGCTGTCAACAGCATGATTGCTCACGTGAGGCCCATCTTTTTACGAGATGGGGTTATCATCAGATCTAGCTCAATGGCTTTCCCGCTTCGATCGTTTTTAATCCCGTCTGCAGCCGCGCACATGCACCGCATCGCGCCAATCTCATTCCACCTGGTGGGCCATTGCATCATGCCCGTTGAGGTTCATCCATATTCACAAGCTCGGCCAGGCTATGATGAGGCCCGGACGGTTGAAAAAAAATCCATTGCCCCCCCCCCCCACCACCAAAAAAAAAGAATGCTAGCACGCAAGGAGAAATGCTGTCGAGCAGCCAAGTTTCCGCCCAATATCGTCGTTATGAACAGTGGCGTCTGATCTTTTGCCAGGTGTGGTTCCAGAACCGGCGGGCCAAGTGGCGGAAGCGCGAGAAGTGCTGGGGCCGCAGCAGCGTGATGGCCGAATACGGCCTGTACGGCGCCATGGTGCGGCACTGCATCCCGCTCCCCGAGTCCATTCTCAAGTCGGCCCGGGAGGGCGTCGCCGACTCGGACGCGCCCTGGCTACTGGGTGAGAGTCGGGAGGGAGGCCGTCCGTTTTCGGCAAGTGAGAAAATGCCGCAGACAAAACGAGGCCTTCTGTCCTTCAGGTATGCACAAGAAGTCCGCGGAGACGCCGGACGCGGAGCAAAGGGGTGGCGGCGCGACGCCGCCGTTTTCTCGTGCGGCGGCGGCCAGGCCCCAGGAAAAGGAACGGACGGACGGCGGCGAGGACGAACTGCGGGTTCACAGTATCGCCGTTCTGCGAGCCAAGGCGCAGGAGCACGGCGCCAAGATGCTCGACACGCGCCGGCGCAAGGACGGAGCCCGGCGCGGCCCGGCTGAGGACCGGACGGACCACGCAGAAGGTTTCGGGGGAACGTGACAAACACGGCTGGCGGCTCACCGGAAAAGTAGCCGCGTCTCCTCTGCGGGCTTCAAACTCGCAGGATGGACTCCAGCCGGCGAAGCCTCCCGTCGGCGCGGATGAGGGACCGGCAGCGGCCACGCCGCCCGCGCCTTTTCTTGCTCAGAGCCTCGACGTAGTCCGATGGCCCGCCGTCGGCAAAGGTCTCCCGCTTGGACTGCGCTCAAGTATATTCTTTTGAAATGTCAAGGAAAAAATAACAGGGATGGGCGAGTGCTATTGGCAAGGATGCCGATACCGGCCACCGATACTTAAGGCAAAGAAACATCTGAGGAGAAAGTCTTCCTTTCCGAAGATTCATCGGTGCCGCGCCGAGGCCGTTTGACACGTTGGTGATGGCGCTCGGCCTTTGCCTTTGCGGAAATTGGACGTCCGTGCGGCTGCTATCAGTCAGTACTCGAGAGCCACTACTCGTACCGCTAACGGTTTGGGGAAAAGTGATCACCAACACTCCTGCTAAATCTGCTTGTTTTTTTTTTTTTTTAATTCTGTTGAATGCGCTCTGCGAGTACATTGCTTCTTGGCAAAAAGAAAAAAATGTCTTCTGCATCAACTCAAACTCTCCACTGGACCGAATTGGATGTCGAATTTCCAGGCAGTAAGTGGCAAAAAATGTTGCCTGCTAAATACTGGAAAAATGACTGTCAGTATTACTGGAAGTGATTGAGCAATTTTGACTGGACGTAAATTAACAGTTGTTGTATTTTTTGTGGGGGGGGGCAGAGGCTGTGAAACCAGCAATTCATTGTCATCTTGTTGACAACTATTTCTTGTAAAAATAAATTCCAGGTAGCGCCTGGCAGCTTTAGTTGCCAGGCGCTACCTGGAAATGAAGAATCCAATACGTTGTGGTCAAATGTTTCTTTCGCTTCGTGATGGTTCTTCCATGAGCCGCTTTGCAAATTGCGCAGGCCGTGAGCGAGAGAAATCGTCACACCAACAAGATCCTTTTCTTCCGCTTGGAGCCTTCTTTTTGGAACAAATCTGCCCAAAAAGGCGACGCTTGCCATCGCAGTGGTCCAACTGGACCAAACGTCGATCTATCAAAGCAAAGTTCTCATCGTGCGGGCCTCGACTTGGAGACGGCTACTCGCTGTGCGACCCAGAACTGATAAATTGAAACTACTACTTGAAAAATGTTCTTATCTTTTGGATCCCACGCGGCAAGCCGGTCAGTCTTCGTCCGTCGGCCCCCTGGGCGGGGTGCTCTTCGGCTTTGACCTTTCCGTGCCGCCGCCGGGGTCGATCCCGACTAAACATAGAAAATGACGACTTTGTGAAAACGCCGCTCGCAGATGACTGACGAGGCAGCAAAATCAATCGGGTCAGACGATACGAGCCAATTCTTCGAGCTTCCAAATGAGCTGCAAAAGTGATTTGATGTCGCTAAGCCAGAAATTGAAAAGGCGATGAAACACTCCCGCGTGATGATGGCGAGTCATGAAGCCGAGAGTCCTTGGGACGGGACTCTACGGTCATCACTCGAAAGCTGTCCAAATCACGGCTTGTGGTCTCGTCCGGCGCTCAACGCGATCCACTTGACGGGCGAGCGTCTGCCTACCTTTGGCTAAAATCCAGGCCGGGCGCAGCCGGCTCCGTACGGCGGATCGAAGTTGTCGTGGCCCCGCCGAAAGGTTGCGCTCGGGAGGCACGGCTGCCCTTCCATGTTCGGCGTCGAATCCTTGGGCGGGAGCGGTCTTTTGCCGTTGCCTCCGACAATGGAAGCGGTCCAAAATGTTTTGGCCTCCAAATCCCCCTTCGGCGGCTCGCTCCGCCTCTGCGCCAGCATGAAGCGCGTCGGAGAACCTGAGACATGGCAGATGAAGAGGTGATTATTTTGTTCGCGGACAAACTGGACCGCAACGACGTTCGCGCAGGAACAGACGGACGGCGGAAAAGCCAGCAAACTGCGCCAGCATGAAGCGCGTCGGAGAACCTGAGACATGGCAGATGAAGAGATGATTATTTTGTTCACGGGCAAACTGGACCGCGTCGACGTTCGTGCAGGAACAGACGGACGGCGGAAAAGCCAGCCAACTTTTCCCATTTGGGCCGCTTCCGACCAAGTCAGCTTTCCCGCCGTTTGTCCAACTCCGGTGACTTCAAACGTAAGCGAACTCTCTCGGCCCGACAACATGACCGCACCATCGCGATCTCTTCGCGGTACCGCAGCTGTACCGGTTTATCGGAGAAATGCGAGGTGAAGGCGGCGCAGACGGCCTTTGCCGCAAAACTCCGGGAAAATGACTATGGATGAAAAATAGTATCAGTGGCCAATCGGCTGAGTTCTGGGCCTTGCTCCGCGACCCTCTCCAGGGTTCAGATGACAACTTGGTTGGCGATTTTTTTCTTTTCTTTGCGTGGGGGAGGGCCGCTTGCGCTGCGGCCGCCGTCGCGGAGGGCGGACGAGGCGCGTCGTTCCGCCTCCGTTCCGCCTCGGCCACGCCAAAAAAGCAATCAGAGCACATTGCCCAACAGCTGTCCTGAGACTTTTTCCAAAGAGGTTTCAGAAACAATAGTTAAAATTCCATCTCCATGATTGCATAAAAACAACAAGAGAGCGCCATGGCATGAAATGCAATCTGCCTGCAAATAATTACGTGTTGTTAGTAATTTAAATAAACAGTACTTTTACATGGACACGCTGACTACACAAATAAAATACGAACGAGCTGCCTTCTTATAAAAACGTTGAAAATTAAATGTATTTTATAGAAAGGAAAAGATGTATTCTTTATTTGCAAAAAAAAAATGATGCTTGCAGTATTGAATGTTACAACCTCCATAACACCCGCAGGACCAAAAAAAAAAAAAAGAAGGACAAATTCAACATGAAAGCTGAATTAGTGAATAATATCATGAGATACTGTATATCAAATGTGATGCTAGTCATGTGTCATATTGACGTGAATCCAAAGTAGTCCCCTGCAGTTTTCCTAATTGTGCATGTGGGCTTTTTTTTGGAGGGGGGGGGGGGGAGAACAACCACCGTTCAGCAAGCAGGCTGTTAAACTCCAGCGCTTTTTTTCCTGGAACTGGCCCATCGAGTTGTGTAAGCGCTGCTGCTTCGGATCAGCAGTTGCATGGCCGACTTCTGGCACCTGTACAACAGTGTTTCCAGCCCAGGACAATTATGACGCCCCCCCCCGCCCACCCAAATTAGTTTTTCTTTTTCTTTCAACGCAACTGTCTTTGAACTACTGCAGTGAATTGCCTGGATCGCCATGCGCTCAGCAGCCCAGAGAAGGTGGCCCTCATCTGGGAAAAGGACGAACCCGGATCCGAGGTCAAGGTGACCTACAGGTCAGTCGTCAAGTTCGCCGGCTTGTTTTTCCGCCCGGGCGGCGCCGCCGCGGTCCACCGGTCGAGCGGGTGTCGGCCTCCGTTCCGAGGTTCCAATCGGGGGCTGGGGTGTGTGGAGTTGGCGTTTTCGGTGCGAGGTCCTCCCCACCCAGGAACGGTTTTCTGGTTCTCAACAGGCAGCTCCTGGAGATGACCTGCCGCGCGGGCAACCTGTTGAGGCGGCGCGGCGTCAAGAAGGGCGACTGCGTCACCATCTACATGCCGCCGTGCCCGCTCGCCGTGGCATCCATGCTGGCCTGCGCCCGCATCGGCGCCGCGCACAACGTGGTGTTTGCGGGCTTCAGCGCGGAGGCCCTCGCCGAGAGAATCCGAGACGGTGAGGCGGCATCGTGGGTGAGAGCTGCTCAGTCCACGTGTTTTTACGGTAGACTCACCATGACGCGCGAGGTGGAGGAGGTCCTCATCGAGAGAATGGGTTAAGTCGGGCATGGCTCAGCGCGTGGCCGGTCAGGGCTCTGATACCGGTCGAGAGGGGCCGAGTCGATGCGGGTCGACTTGTCTCCCCCTGCATCGGTGGCCGAGCGTTGGAGGTCACGCCGCTAGATGAGAGCACACCGGGTGGTTATGCATTCAGGAGACAAACGGTCATCAGAAAAGAGCTCGACATCAAGGTGAAGAAGGTGCACTCTTCACGCCTGCCATACAACGTGTCCTTTAGTTTCAGCATTTCAACCCATGTTGAAGTATTAGTTTTTTTTTAACACTCACACACAGAACAGAAGCGGACAATATTGCCGTTTTAACAGCCCTCGGGGACTTAATAGCTGACTACTCCCTCGCCTATTATCAAGGCGCAGATAAGATGGTTTTTTTATTGCGGCCACAGCCGAGGGAATTCGCAATGCAAAAGTATGTACACTTTGCACTGAAGTGGGAGTACAGATAAAGGTCAACCCAAACGACACTATTAAAAGTTCAAAGTGCTCATGTCAAGTGTTCCCCAAAACCTGTTTGGAGCGCACCACCAAATCGACGAGCAGGAAGCAAGTTTGACGACATTGCACCGCATGATTGTCCAGCATCCGCCTTTTATGGTGCCGCCAAGTGTTTGTGCACAAAACAAATGGCGAGGTGAGGGCGGCCTTCTCGCGGCTCTCCTTGCGCGCTCTGCGGCGTCCTTTGGAGCATGCGGGCCAGTGTGTCGGAAACAAGAGGGATGAGGGCGCGGCCACGAGCCAGCGCGCCTCTGCCGGGTCCAGAGGTCGATCCGGGTCGCCACGCTATAAATCTCCGCAGCAAAGCTTTGTGGACTCCGCAAGCCTCAATCAGCTAATCTGAATTGCGACAGCGGCGTCCTTGCCGCCCGATGAAGAGCGAGTCCACAGGTCTCATGACGCGCATCTTGCTCGCCTTCAGCGGGCTTTTGAAAGTTAGTCGTGCAAGTATTTGAATGGATCGGGGGCGGCACGGCGCGGCCCGCCGGCTGGCGAGTCTGGCTCACCGTCCCGAGACGAGGTGAGCGCTCAGGTCTCAACTTCCGGCCGGCGCAGACACGGCGGTGCCCCTCCGCAAAAGCAAGCGCTGGGATGTTAAAGCGTTTTATTTGGAAAGAGTTCCATTGCCAAAAGGGAATAACATTGAGTCAAATGCCGACCCGAGTTATGAAACGCGTACTATTTCGTGACAAATGAAAATGGACCAAATACTTACGAGGGGATGGGGCGGTGAAATCCAATTGTTAAACACGCCGTTTCTGACAGTCAACTTTAGCACGGGTCACCACTTAACAACCACGAGGAAAGGAAAGTTCCGGACGCTACGTACCGACCGCACACACGGCGAAAGAAAATGGGAAGACGAGTCGCCGTGAGCGAAACGCCGCTAGCATTTTGGACCCGAGGCAATTCCTCCCGTTGCCTCCGTCTGTTGCCCTCTCAGCCCAGTCCAGTACGGTGATCACCGTCAACGAGAGCGTGAGAGGCGGCAAGGTGACCCGCCTGAAGGACACGGTGGACGAGGCGGTGCGCGGTTGTCCGACGGTGCGGCAGGTGTTTGTGGCCATGAGGACGGACGCGCCGGTGGTCGCGACGCCCAAGGACGTCGCCATGGAAGAGGTGAGAGGTCCTCGCCCCCCC